TTATTATATTATTATATAATAAATATAACACTTATCAAGATTATCTAAATGTAACAGCTGGCACACAAGAGTGTTTCAGCTTTTAGGATGCTGGTTACTAATATTTATCATACATGTTTAGGAGAGGGTGAGGGAGGAAAGAAGGAATTGAGCATAAACTTGTGTTCCAAGCTTATGCCTATTACAGAAAAATAGTCAATATTAAGACTTCAGCACTTAGATTCTTCTTTGATTACCTTTCTGTTCTCCTGTCCTAGAAGTGTAGCAGATAATTATCCTCAAACTGGAACTAGGTAGAGCAGATAATTATCCTCAAACTGGAACTAGGTACAAATAGTCTGAGCATAGTTCCACCAGCACACGGCAAAGCAGGATGTTTCTCCTTATAAAAGAGAAAGGTGCTTTTAAAGAGCTTCTACAGGAGTGATAGCACCTTAACATCTGAGTTTAAGTCATTAATAGCAAGTATGACTGATAAATCTGCAGGTGGAGGTTTGTATTGAACAAAGGTTAGGATGAGAAAGTACAAACCAGTATTCCTTTTTACAATTATTACATAAATACAGCAGATGGAGTCTGTATACGTGGAATTGTAACATGCATGATGGCACTTGTCTGTTTTGAAGAATGTTTGCCTTTTCAGTATCAGACTTCCTTTGCAGATGATCTGGCTACATGAATGGGAATACCATTTTTTGCCTGTGTGCTGTAGGACTGCTAGATGTGTTATAATCTATCTGTGCCTTTTCAGTGTAAGATTGTATTTTATTAGTGTAGGAGAGCTGCCAGAGCACTATTGTTCTTCACCTTATGTTTCTTCCTGCAGGTCCAGCCTCTGTGACTAGTCAGTCTCCTGTTCCATGTAAACTCTGTATCCTTTAACTACTCTACAACTGTAAGAGGCTTTCTGAAGCCTTATTCTATGCACCATTGACCCATTAAGTCCAGCTTTAGCTGATTATACTTAAAGACAAAGTAGAATGCTTCATAAGAGACTAATGCTTTCATAGAATTATAATTATGGAAGTCTAGTATGCTACTATGCTTGGTCATTTGAGATACATGTATGAAATTACCAATAGGTACACTACAAAACTGAACATAAAATTCCAAGAATATGGTTCAAGACTTCCAAGATAAGGTGACAGTAAATGGAAGTACATTAATGGGATCTGCGTCAGTACAGTAATGTGAATAGTAGCAACAGTTTACAATCAAATGTTAGCTATTGATGTTAGAACTTTAACATTCAGATTCTTCTTCTTGGATTGTCTTTCAACCTGATATCATCATCAGTGCAAGTGAAGGTAAGCAGTGAGCTGTCTCAATCCACTCACTGTCAAAGGGTGGCTGGTTTATACCTTCAGTGCACAAAGCGGCTTAAATCAAAACAAAGCAGCTAAGCAGATGCACCTAGTAAGATGACTATTCTCAGTAGTGATAACTGAGGAGAACCCCATTTTTACTACAACTTTTCAGGGGTAATGCTGCTCTAAAACAGATTAAGGAAGGCAAATAAGTTATAATCCAGATGCATTCTCATTTAGAGATAGAAAAGTTGGATATCTAGGCTATACTATACAGGGCAATTCACTTTTTGTTTTATTCATTCAAATCAAGGTTACCTCTGGAGTCTTCAAGTGAAACTTGAACCTGTAGTTAACCTCTTGCTAGATAAAGGAAAACTGATGGATTTCCTTCTCCAAAGGAAAGAATGCAAAATGGTTATCCTGTCTGTATGCTCTCAAAGTAAGTTCAGGTGCTTTGTCTCTATCTTGAAAGTACAGTTTTGCTTGTTCATAAATACTGACACAAGTTAGCTGAGCTGTTCTTATATTTGAGATGACCTCTGAAGCTAGCTTGGTCCTGGAAGATGTCATTTGCCTAGACTACTCTCAATGGGCTGGTTAAATTAAGTTAGCAGCATGGAAGAATTTAACCCACTCCCCAGTTAGTTAAAAATACATCTGACATGACTGAAGGTGTTTCTTTAAGTTTAAGAATCAAGCTTAGATCAGAGATCACCTTTTGAAAATGGCAACATGGAAGCCCCTGGTTATTTCTCCTCATAGTTCTTTTTTTCTTTTTATCTTTTCAGTGCTCAGTGAGCCAGAAAGGGGATCATTGTCTGTGATTGCAACCGTTTTTGACAAACTGAATCATGAATATAAGAAGTACTTGGAAGCTGAGCAAAGCTATACTATGGTAAACCATGTTAGCTACAGCAGCTTACAAAGATAGGAGAATGCTATTTGCATTTCAGGTTGCATCATGGTGAAGACATGCTCTTTTCAACTTAGGAAATTCAGGTCTACCCTAAGGTCCTGGCTGCCCCAGGCTCACAGGAGGTGGTCTACTATGCAAGGTGCACTAAGACCCCCACTTACCACTCCTGTGTGGCAGGTGATGCACAGCTCATCTCCAGCATGACAAGTAACATACCCTAGTGCTTGAAAGCAAAAGAGGGTAGAAGCTTAAAAGCAGCTTGGAATATGTAACTTCTGAAGTAGTTTCCGAATCACTGATTTCATGGCACACTGTACCACTGCCCAACATGTGCAGCCCTGATGCACCTCAGAATTGCTTCTGTTAAAACACCAGGTTCAAGCACTAACTCACATAGTATGACCATATACTGAAAATCCTTTTAAAAAGCCCACAGCATGTGTCAGAGTAAGTCTGATTCATCTCTTTGCTTTGAGGCTTAACATAACAGTTAAATTTACATTACTTTTAAAAGCAGTTTTAAATGGAATACAGAAGCCTACAATGAACAGAATGCATTCTGTATAATGTGACCACAGATGTGAACTTGCTCAGTAACAAAACATGTTTATAGTTATGGTCCCAGTGGAGAACGATCTCTGTACAGATAAGACTAAAACTCTGCAACACTGCAGTTTTCTTTTAAAAAGGCTTTCTTCTTGCAGGTGGTAGAAGCAGGCCTGAGTAGAAGTAATCCACTTCTGAAACGTCCAGTTCGCACTCAAGCAGTTATTGACCAGTCTGACATGTACACACATGTTTTGTCTGTATTTACAGAGAAGAAGGTAAGTTAACATTAAGTGCTAGACTCCAAGCAGCAGGCTTAAGTTGATTGCTTGGAATAGCCTGCAGAAGGCTTTATTATCAGGATTAGGGTATTTCAATGCCCATCCTTATGGTGCTGTCATTAATAAGGGAAGCTATGCAAGTTCCACCTAACACTTTTTTCTTGTCCAGGAAGCACCTCATAAGTTCACTATAGCGGTCCTGATGGAATACATTCGCTCTCTTAATCAGTTCCAGATTGCAGTTCAGGTAAAGTACTTACACATGCCATGGGTACTACCTTACTTCATGAAATGACATAGAGTTTCAGATCAGGCCTGGTCATATGTCCAGGTCCTATAGAATGCTACCTTCTAGACTGTAAAAACTGGTATTGAGACATACCTTTGATGGTGGTCTTCCTGCATTCACAGCACTACTTGTACGAGCTGGTCATCAAAACCCTTGTTCAACACAACTTGTTCTACATGCTCCATCAGTTTCTGCAGTACCATGTGCTCAGTGACTCAAAGCCTTTGGTATGTAAGATAAGTTGCTTCAATAAGCTAGTGATGGAGATGAGAAGTCTTCAGAATCTTAAGGTTATTGCTGCTTTTGCCCTAGGCTTGTCTGTTACTGTCCCTGGAAAGCATTTACCCTCCTGCACACCAGCTCTCTCTGGACATGTTAAAAGTAAGCATTTCAGACTATAATAACTCCATGTCACATGTGGGTTAGCTTATCAAACAACCTACCTGACCAAGCTTGAAGTGACTAGCTAGCATCTCAGTCACTTGTTAGAAGCATAGTCTTACAGCTGTGATTGACTTCACAGAGACTTTCCACAGCAAATGATGAAATAGTGGAAGTTCTGTTGTCCAAACACCAAGTTTTGGCTGCCTTGAGATTCATCAGGGGCATTGGAGGACACGACAGCATTTCAGCCCGCAAATTCCTTGATGCAGCAAAACAAGCAGAAGATGACATGCTTTTCTACACTATATTCAGATTCTTTGAACAAAGAAATCAGCGGTTACGAGGAAACCCTAGTTTTACACCAGGTAAGCAATAAGCAGTCAGATACTCAATTGTCACTCCCCATCTAGTCGAGTCTGAATTACAAGATAAAACCCTTGGTGCATTTTAACCTGTATTTTAGACTTGCCTTCAAGCATAATTCCAAAGTTAACTTGTCACATCCCATTCTATACTACACCCAGGAATAAAGAGAATGAGCCAAACAGGAATTTGCAGATTAAGCTAACCTGTTTGGCCTGGAGTTGCTTGCACTTCTAGGCTTAGCTGAGTCATTACACCTCTAATTAGTGCTTTCTCCTGAAGCCAGAAACCGGGTCAAGAAACCTTTGAGTTCAGTTGTTTGTTTCCACAGATTACAATAATTCAAGGCCTGTTTTGTACTACAGTTCCTCTTATTTCAAAAACCAAGTTACACTGCTTGTACCAGCAGCACAGTTATCACCAGAGAGTCTGCAGGCACAGAATCCCACTTTAAGATGTTGTACCTTGGCAGTAAAGAACTCACTGATATGAATCTGCTGGTGAGGTACTGGAACTAGATCAAACATCTGCTTTAATACAAGAACACTTATCACAGAACTGGAGATAGCTTAGTATTCTACTGCTTTAAAATTATTAAACTCCTTTACTTAAAGGCATTAAAGATAAAAATCAGTGCTTATGAACTGAGGTAAGTTAAACTACAGTCTTGTTTCTTAAGTTTTAAAGTTAATGTCTGTTCTCCCCCTGCTCTTTAGGTGAGCACTGTGAAGAACATGTCACCTTCTTCAAACAAGTTTTTGGAGAACAAGCTCTCATGAAGCCCACAACACTCTGAAAAAATCTTCCACTGAAATGTATAAACTTAATTTATTGCATTTAAGTAGATTTTTGAACTACAAAATTGCTATTTTATAATAAAGTATATACAAGATGTTTTGGCAAATAGTACTAAAAATATTACAACTTGTGATGGCTTCCCCCTAAAAATAGAGACAAAAATTGCATTGACCTGCATTTAAAATCAGTGTCAGTGGTTTAGCAGTCCATTCTCCTACACATCACCTCAGTTTCATTGACAAAATAAGCTATTCAAGTCTCAATACAGCTGGTTTAGGTTTCTAGAAGAAAAAGATGCAACCTGTTGACAACAGAAGTGTTTTAGTAATCTTAACACATCTAGTTTTAGTAATACTGTTACATGAGCCACACGTAGCATTTCCTGAGTTTAAAGCTATGTCCAAAGCTGCAGCTGATCTCTTTTAGTTGAATCTGTGCAGGAGTCAAGTCAGTGGTGGTTACAGTGTGATAGTCATAGAACATTGCTGCGCTTCAGTTCTTAAGAGCTGGGCCTAAGCCACAGTTCATGGAGTCCACTGAACACTGTTTAAAAAACTAGAAGTAGAGGAGTCGTTCCCGTTCTGTACCTCTGGTCCTCTCTTGTGCAGCGTGAGTTTTAGCTTTATTTACTGATGGGCCTGAGAGAGAGAGAGAGAGAAAAAACAGAGTTAATTCCAAAGTCTCATTGCAGCTGATCAAGAAGCATACATGACTTAACTGTCCAAGTCTAGCTTAACATGGATGAGACTTCAGAAACATGCTTCTGCTCAGCTGTTAATAGCTGGCAGCAGCACCAAGGGCAGTAGGTCAATCTCCCTTAGTCTTAACCACCTTAAGTAAGGCTGAGTTCAAGTATACTTTTAAGAGCTACACTGTATGCATGAATTCCCAAATTCAGAAGGGCAGTGTTTGGACCATCCAGCGTCCCAGAGTAGGTTTGTTGCTCCCCCCACCATCCTGTCCCCCGGCTGAGATACAAATAAATCATGCTACTGTCTGCTGGGCCATATGGGCCTAGCAGCCATCTCCACAAAAACCAGAACAGGGCAAGGCTGCAGTTGCTTCACCTCAGCACGCCTGAACAGTCAGTGTGCACTGCCACCAGTCAGCCCTTGCTTTCTAACAGCCAGCCTACTTGGAAAAGTGAGGCACATTCAAGTACTGCTTTTGTATCTTCGCAAACCTTTCAGTTTCATGGAGCAGAAAAGTGTACAGAGGCAGCTAGCTGTTTCTGTTTGAAGCATGTTTTGGAGCCGACTGTCACATCTTACCTATGTAACTAAGCAGAACTGGAAGAAATATTAGTCCATGTGTTGCTCCCAGTAGAACCATAGCTAGATACATCTTGAAGTAGAATATCTTGAAGATTTGAGACTTGGAAAAAGCCAGGACTACAATCCCTCCAAATTTGGTCAGTGTGATACCACTGAAAACCTGTCAATAAAAAGAAAAAATAAATAAATTTAAATATTAAAGTGCTAAGTAGGGCTTTATATAATCCATCTGCTTAAGGTATTTAACATTTGCTAAAATTTTAATGTAATTTGAGGCTCCTATATGCAGTATACCTCCCTCCCCATTAGTCCTCAGAATCAAATCGAAAACCTAACTCAGGAGAAGAGTTCCATTTCTTGGTCCCACTAGAAACTGGCACCACAGGACAGGCTCAGTATAGTTAAAAACCCACTAATCTGTACAGCCACCTAGTTTATTGTTTACTTTGGGCAGAGATGAAAACTATCACCTGAAGTAACTCATATTCCAGTGAAGGCCCTGTACATGCATTACCAGAACAGTATTCCAGCCCCAACCATGTCACTTAGACAAAGTGATATGACAGTACTGCCTAAGCACTGAGCCGTGCTTGCATTCCCAAAGCTCCAGTTGCATCCCATATTCAGAACAATCTTTCCTTGTCACCTCTGGAAGAGAGAAGCACTTAAACTCTAATGGGACAATTCAAGGTTAACCCAACCTACTAGTTCAGCTAAAACTTTTAGCTGAGGTAGTAGTAACAGACTAAAAGTGGGAGTCTTCATCACCCCTATTACTAGTAGAAGCCTAGGAAGAATTTTCAGCATTCCAAAAAGAAGAGGCAAGGCCATCCTTATGATTTAAGGACACTGGCGTAGTTTGTAACTTGGTTACCCATTTCACCCCCATACAGTAGATACTTACTGAGCTGCCCATGTGAGACAGAGCTGCTTCTGCACGCTCTACTCTACTGCCCTTACTACTAACAGTGAACGCTCTTGTTACATGGCTGCAGAATTCCACAGCGATACCACAACTCTAGGGAGCAAAAAGAAACAGGTATGAAAACATCATTTTAGATGAGCACTTTGATAATGTCTCTACTCAGAACTCTATAGGCAGGCTAGAAAAGTTCTGGCAGCTGTGATCAGTCCCCAGGGTTAATGTCATTGGACAGTACAAGCTCAGTATTACTTGCTTTGTAGGGGCTGCTGCAGGTGTTGTACAGCATTTTACCACCAGTCATTACTAACTGACAATTAATCTGATTAAACAGGAATCAGAACATTAGAACATTTTGGAGAAGAAAAGTTTCTTGATACTGAAGAAAGCTGGCTTCAACAAGGTGCACGCAGTGAACACTGAACACTAAACTCCGTTTACAGATACTAGCTGCAATAACATTGCTTTAGAACAACACTGAGTATTCATGCTGATTTGATACCACGGAAGTTCAGCTGATTAGTCGTTTAAAATACAATACTGAACTGTTGGCAAATCTTAGATTTATCTGGCAGGTGGATTTGCATGAACATATGCCCAGTTGTAACATGGGGCAACCGTTTACTGTCATAGCATGCTACAAATCTCTGGAAAGCAAGGCAAGCAGAACTCCAGCTCTCGGCTATTAGTTACTGTGTTCTGGAATATTTCACCAAAGCACTCTCTGCCCGAGTGGCTTCATCTATTTATGCAGGAACAATACTGGTGCTAGCACATCACAGATCTACTCTGTAGAACATAAATACAGCAAAAGCCCTGACGCTAAACTATATATCCTTACCTTAGGCATGAACAGCTTCTGTTGATGTGCAACAGCACCTAGCCTATATAGTAGCAACACAACTTGCTATGAACAGACTATACCACACCAGCTGCAGTACAGCTGACAGTTCAATGGCTTTATATTATCAGTACTAAGACTAGTTTTCTACAGACCATCTAGATGTATTACGATAGTTTCACTACTGTTCAAATACCTGTTAAAATTTAGTAGAAAATACATATATATTCATGATACTGAGCAGTAAGACACAGAATTGTTCAAGACTTGGCAACAGAAGCTAACTTACCATGACAAGGTTTACTAACGAAACTGCATTCAAGCTGATGCCCCAGAGCCACATCACCCCAAACATGTTGATGATGATCATAGCAATAGTTATTGAAACTACAACAGCAGCCCATACTTCAAAACCAAGCAGCACAGTTGTCACCAAAAATATTGATCCCAAGGAGATGCAGAGGTTAAAGATAGCATCATGCACAATTGTCAAGTACTGTTCATAGAAGACATAAAACACACTGTGGAAAGAACAGAAGTTGTAGTTAGCCATCTTCCTTGTTACATGCTAACATTAGATTAGCTTCTGTACTACAGATAAAGTACTTCCCTCCTAACAGGGGGCACCAACAGAAACTAGCTTCCTAGCATCAGTGGAGTAACTCCTATGGAAATGCTGGCTCTTACATGACAACTTCTCACTAACACTTCAAATAAAGACTGTATCGGGAAGTCAGAGCAATTCCCACACTCCAGTATAAGCAGCTCCAGTAGCTGCCAGAAGGCAGATCCTCAGATCAACTGAGGTATCTGCAGAAGCTACTGCAGAGAGCCTGAACCGATTCATTACACAATGAGACCACAAGGATGGATAGGATTCTTTGACATGAAAAGATCAGCTGTACAGGTAACAATTCTAAGAATTTCATTGTGGTACTCTTCCACAGTCTGTAGTATATGTTAATCATGCAAGCATTAGATAAGCTGTACTTGGCAGCACTGCTGCCTTTGCTTTAGATTTAAATAATTGAAGTCAATACAGTCACATTACAGATTGCAGCTACGCAGGTCAACAGATCTGCTCAAGCTGGAACTATTCAACCCTACTACAAAAGCTAGGAAGGGCCTGAGCTACTTTTGTAGTGAAGGACAGGTTGATGTAAGTTAGTTATCAGCCACAGTTGGTAGTGCTGTGGATGTAAGTTATATTTTTGTGGTTTTACTATAAATTCTAGAATCTCTGTATTACCTTCTGTTAGACAAAACCCAAGACTCAAGTCTCTAAGATGTTATTAGCCAGTACCTTCTCCTAGTTGCTCAAGTTGAGCATTATCACGAAGGCAAGCAAGATGTAAGCATACCTGTAAGGAAACACCCGGTAGTTCCTCTCTTTGATGCCCATGGTTTCAGTGATGTTATCTGCTATAACACGAGCCTTCTTCATAGCATCAATAAAATCAGATGATGTTTTCAGTACAGTATGATAAGTCATAAAGTAAGTAGCTCCAACATCAGATTTGTTGTTTATAAAGTTGACAGCAGAGCTATATGCAGCATGTCCTCTACATAAACATAGGAACATTAAAAGTCAATGTCAGTGACCACCATTCAAATTTACTAGCTTTTATAATATAAAATCTTTTTCTAGCAGTTCCCAAAACTGCCAGAAGCTTCAGAGCACAACACATTTCAAGAGTGCACAGGATATACTGGAACAGACTGATTAAAGAAGTTGTTCTTACTCGTACAGGGAAAAGCAGGTGTTCCATTTAATTGCTGATGCATTTGTCTTCACAGTTTTGTTTCAGAAGATATTACAGTACAGCCAAGATGTCATTGTCTGCCTTTCAGAAGGACATTAAATATCTAGCCTTGCAGACATACAGTTACACTTCCACAGCAAGTAACTTCAACACACTGGGCTAAGAAAGATACATCAAATATGGCTCTTACCCTTTGCCACATTTAGGGTTTGGGTTGTCTGATAGGAACATAGGCAAAAATGTCATGAAGTCTTTCCCCTGTGGTCTCTGCTTGCCTTCTTGAGTCAGTGGTCGACAGCGAGTGCAGGATG